TTTCCTGGTTTCTTAATCCTAATCTATTAAAAGCAACAACTGCACAATTATATCTATAAATAGCAGGGTCTCTATACTCAGTAAATGAACAATGCCCACTCCTTCTATTCTTAGACAAAATGAGATGCTTATCTTTATAGAGTCTTAGTCTTTCCAGACAAACAGGAAGGAATTCCCACAGAGGGAGTGAAGTTAGCTGATAATGGAACACTTCCAGATAAGGAGATGAGTAAAGGCTATTTTCTGTTTAGTATTTATCACAAAGGAGAATACAGACATGTTGAATTGATGGGGAAGATTATTACGAAAATCTGACAATTAAGTTCATGAAGTTGCCACTGTGCACTTACATTGACAACACTGTACAAACAGCTTGTTATATCAGTGTCTCACAGTTGTGTTTCATAACCTTGGTATATCAGCGTCTCACAGTTGTGTTCATGTTGATGTGTGGTGGTGTCTTGCTGAGTAGCATTCATTATTGTTGTTGCATTTTTTGTGTGCCTTCACCAGAATGTCAGAGCTTTAATTAGACCGAAGAACAAATATTCATAAATTTCTTAGTAAACTTGCAAGAGTGGAAGTGAAATTAGGGACAAGTTAGTGCAAGTTTATGGGGATGATGCCATGAGGAAAACAACAGTGTACAAATGGATTAAACATTTTTCCAAGGGGAGAGAAAGTGTCACCCATACAGAGAGGTCAGGGTGGCCAGAAACAAGTAGAACTGACCAAAACATGGCAAAAATTAATTGAATCATGCATCAAAATCATCATCTCACTGGGAGACACATGACAGATCAAGTAAATGTTGATAGAGAAACAGGAAAATCTTAACTGAAAATCTTGGCCTTCAGCTCATGGCTCTTGCATCATGACAATGCACCCGCTCACACAGCATTGTCTGTGACAGAGTTTTTAGTCAGTAAACAAACAACGGTATTGAAATACCCTTCCTACTCACCTAATCTGGCCCTGTGACTTTTTTCTTTACCCAAAGATAAAGTAAATATTGAAAAGGAGACATTTTGATGACATATAGGACATCCAGGGTAATATGTGGGAATAATGACAGCTTTGATAGCTATTCCAGAAAAAAAGTTCCAAAATTGCTTTGAAGGGTGGACTAGGTACTGGCATTAGTACATAGATTCCCAAGGACAATACTTTGAAGGTGACTATACTGATATTTAGCAAAGAGGTATATAGCACTTTTTCTAGAGTAAGTTCAAAATATAGGAAAGGAGATCAAAATTAAGGAAAAGAAAAAGAAATTATATCATCTTCTATGATCTATTAAAATATATAATTCTCAATCATAGTCATGACATATCTCTTTTTGCCCATGCAATGATGGGTGTATGATGTGTGTGTGTGTGTGTGTGTGTGTGTGTGTTAGAGATTAGAGGAAAGAAATACATTAGCAGTGGAACACTGTGCCTAGTTAAAGCACTACAATATCTGGATTCTTTATGAACTGTGTGAAGGTCAGTGAAGTGTCCACAGGTGATCTGAAAAATTAAGAGTGTAAAAGGTGAGAAAGTGTTAATCATTCAAACTAGTTCCTATTCTAGGGTTCTTTAATGGTGCCCATCAGGGAAAAATAATAGCACCCACTTTGCTACCTCACAACATTGCATAAACTCATCAAGAAAGCGAATGAAGGACAGGTATTTTGAAAGCTGTGGAAGGTGATTTAATCATAAGGGACTATAGTTATTTACTAACTTTTATGATCAGCAAGAATCTGTATAGAAAAAGGCAAGACATTAAGAATGATTTCATAACTTTGGATTTTGGAAATAACTTTGGCTTCAGTGAGTTTGTTGGCCTACAGAAATCTTTATAATTTTCTCATTTTTTTCCTCTGAATCAATATCCGTCATGTGAATTCAGATTCCAGACAACTTGATAAATGTGTAAGCATGTAAAGTTTATAGTTTTTAATATCAACCTTATAGTTTTTAATATGGTTGATATTAAAGAGCATTCTCCATGTTTGCTGAATCATCGAAAAAGCTGAAAACAAAGGATGGAATTTTGAGTTTGAGAAAAATACTCCAGTAACTTAACTCTAACTCAAACCCATGTTCATCAAAACTTTGATCTCATTCATGGGAATTCGATGTCCATGGTGGTTTTCAGGAATAAGGAATGATTAACAGAGAATGTGATGAATCACCTCTGCACTTACAACATTTCTAAAATAAGTAGAGAAGAGGCCCTGATGACATCAGATCGATGGCGGGTACTGCCAATTTTGGTGCTACCTGAATCTTCTTTCAGCCACTTTCACCTCCTCAAAAACATCAGATTCAAACTTTGTATTCATTATTTCAGAAGGTTATATCTGTCAGTGATGAGCGTTTTTCTGGTAAGAAGGAAACCAACTCCTGTAATGTTTCCTCATAGCAGAGATTCCCTAGAGAGGCACTCATCTTTGGGTTCTCCTGTTCCACCCTAGCATCACTTCCACTCCTGGGAATACATGTTTTCTCCATTTGGACTAGAGTTGGGGTCATGAGAACATGTTACACAGTTATCAATTCCACTGTAAGGCATTAAACTTTTCTACCATCACTAACAGGATAGCTTTTCTTCCATCACTAGCATGGTTTGGATGCATTTCATATGGCCTGAGAGAACAGATAAAGGATAAAAAATTAGTATTGACATATTAATATTTATGAGAGGCTTGGAAAGATCAAGAAAAGAAGTCAATGATGATTGAAACCTGTCAATAATTTTGGTAAGTTTTGAGCAGCTAATGAATTCATTTATTCTAGGCATTGTGATTAAGAATACAATTACAAATTGAACAAGAGAATATATACATTCATATTTTAGTTTCACTTTACAGTGTTTTGGGGGGGTTATTTCAGGCTGAGTAAACTTTAATCAGTTTATGAAATATATGTTGGCATTTCTTGGAATCGTAGAAATTATCTAGCACAATCATATTATTGATTGAATCATATATAATAATATAAAATGCAAGACTAATTATCATTAACCATAAAACTTATCACATATACTTGGTATTGTTCTAGGCATTACGCACACACACATCGTCCATGTGAATTACCTCTAAACCTTAGAGTGATTGTACAATGTAGGCATTATTATCTCTATTTTATTTATTAGAAAACTGGGGCTCAGAAATAATAAGTGACTTTCCAAAGGCAACAGGGCTGGTAATTGGTAAGTCAAAATTTGGACTCAGATCTACCTTTCTATAAAGCCAGGTTCATTTCCACTATACTGTGTAGTTGCAAAGACAGGAATAGAAACAGATTTCATGACTCTCTGTCCCATTCACTTTCCATTAAGCTATGATGGACTTTGATTTTCTAGACTGTAACAGTAATGCAACTTGAACTTGCTCTGTGAGCTCACTAATTTTCCTGTACCAAAGTTACTAAAATAATGTAGACCTTGAAAGCAATGATTATATTTTTACAAAAAATAAATTTCATGTGGGAAAAAAGAGAGGGCATACTCTCTCTTTGAGGGGTCTCAGAATACTGACATGATCCTAAAATTAGCCAGCTCTGATCACTTTTCTGGGACAATCATAAAATGGTCACAAAATCCAAAACTTTCTTCCCATGGATGTGAACACACCAAGAAGTACTAGAATCACCTAGTTTGTCTCTAGCTTCAGTTCATCTTTGCATGGTTCTTCAGGTGCTATCTTAAGCTGGTAGAGTGAAATAAGCTGGTGGAAAACAGGTGTTGCTTGTAGGATGAAAGAAGAAACTAAGGAGAAGATACTCTCTCTAGAAAAAGTGGTATGTTTATGTATTTATAATTTTTAATAGCTTTTTTCTTCTTGAGAGATTAAAAAATAGGTTAATTCAGAAAGTAAACTCAATGTAGGGAAAAGAGATTGAGTCAATTTTTTCTTTATTTTTTTCTTTTTTTTTTTATAAAGGTGGAGGTCTTGATATGTTGCCCAAGCTGATCTCCAATTCCTAGCCTCAGGTGATCATCCTGCCTCAGGCTCCCAAAGTGCTAGGATTACAGAAGTGAGTCACTACACCTGGCTGATTGAGCCACATTTTTAAAACAGTAATTTGGGTATGATGGGCTATGGAAAGTTAAACTTTTGAGCTTCTAATATTTATGATTATGATGTTTGCTTAAAATAGAAGATCAGACTTTAGTATATGAAATATCTTCCCTATTATGAAATATCTTTCCTATTATGAAATATCCTTCCTATTAGGAATTATGGAGAAGCTTCGTTTTCACAAATTTTCTGCCTCTGCTAATATAAAGGTTGAAGTAGCACATGGAGTGGAAAAATGTTGAAAATCCAGTGGCTGGTTTGGAATGCTGGCTCTTGGTCCTTCGTCTAAACTGCACGCTCTTAGGAAAACCATTGTTCCTTTTCTGAGTTTTTGCTTCCGTATACATTCAATGTTAGAATTATGCTAGATTATCTCTTAGGGTCATTGTCTTTAAAGTATACACACATCTGTGAATCTGAATTCAGATACATTAGAACGTTTACGGATGGAATCGGCAGGAAGTTTAGGTTTCTCCAGATATGGAAATCTTTAAATCTTTACCTGACTGTCAAGACAGCCAATCTGTCTTCTTTTCCTTTTCTCTTTCCCCTCTGAAGGGAGTCCAGTTAGAAACACATTTCTCTACAAAGTAGTATGTTTGAGGTTGCTGGGGAATTCACTTCTTATATAGGATCATGGAGTATTCAACTTAGAAGAGGGTTCCTGGACTTGATTGCCTTCTGGGGGAGAGATCATCAAAGTACATTACTCCCTTAGAAACAGACATTATCTGTTCAGATCTGCCACTTTGACAGGCTGCTAAAGGATGGAAGTGGTGTGATATATTAAGTGCAGCACCACCTTGACTAACTGGTTTCAGTGGGTGTCACCACATATAAGAGAGCTTCATCTCCAGGAGTTCAGACTCAGAGCACCAGCTGAGCAATGCAACGAGCAGACCTGTAGCCAACTTACATCATCCTCAACATGAAGATAGACACAGTGCCAGTGATTCTGACCTTGGCTCTTTGCCTCATACAAGGTGAGTAATTTGTGTGTAATCCTAGCCTATTGCCACACATCTCAAAGCCCTGGGGAAGGGACTTTTCTCCCCCATTCCCACCAAAAATATGTTTGTATGATCCTAAAATTTCTTGCCAGACACAGAATTTTGAAGATTTATATATGATATACATGGCTTTATAATTATGTTATTTTTAGCTGATTATAAAAAGATCAAGCTACTATCCCCAATAGTTTGAGATAATCTGAGTTTTTTCCATAAGTGATCCTTACATTGTTTATTAGTTCCAAAAAGCTAAGAGATGCTTCTTCATCTTCCTATCACCAAGTATTTCCCCAAGTATATATGAACAGGCATTTAAAACTTATATGTAAATAATATTTATAACACAATTTATGTGTATAAATAAAATATTAAATATACAAATGTAATAATCTTTTCTAATTTTAAAGCAGTAGTGCATTCTAGCCTATTTTACTTTGGGGTTTTCAAATCCTAAATGGATTGAAAATATTTCTCCTAAAGAGTGAGGAACTTTTGTGGGAGCTTGGAGAGAAGTTTTTACTTTTGCTATTTGACTTTGAAGGGAACATACATTGCTTAGACTCATCTTACTCTGAAGCATTAACATTTTTAAAAAGAGTATCTTATACAGACAGTGAGATTATATATAAATAATGCTCACTTTCTTAAAATTACTATGTGGGTACAAAAAATATGTTAATGAGAGAGTATAATAGCCTGTGCTTTTAATTAATTTTATTCTTACCATATCTTTGATTTCTGTAGCTGTAATGAAGAGGCAGAGTTGCCAGATTTTGGAAGATTAAATTTTATGTGTATGTGTTGATGTAAATTTCATGTTAGTTTGCATTTTAAATTACACTGTAATTGGTATAAATTTGGTTATATATATATTATGCTAAAATTTTAAAAGGGAACCTGCCATACTTTACTCTGAATGGAGCTTCTAGAAAGCAACTATTTTGATGAGGTCAGAAAGTACATGATTGTTACTTTCCAACATAGTTGGAACTTGCTGAGTGATTGGATCTTTGTGAATGTCTGTACTGATTTCCTGAGTGCACTGCCCTCATTTTATTTGCCATGGTAAATCTTAATATGCTCAAAAATAATTTGTGGTTTTATAACATACTGTTATTAAAATAATCAAGACACTATATAAAGTGAATTGTTTTTTCTATTAAAATTTTCATAACAATGGTTTCTGCATTTTTGTCCAGATGCTGCCAGTGAGGATAAAGATCAGGTTAGTCCTGCTTTTTCTATTCATTGAAACCATTTCAAGAGGGCTAAAGAAAAATTGTTTGTGACCAACAGATTCTTGTTAATTGTACAAACAATATAGTTACTAATAGCTTTTTTTTAAAGATAGAAACAGGTCTTGATGAATCAAGATATGATTCCCACCCCCCCCCAAACACACACAGATACTCACAGTGTATTAATGATGATGGATGTCTACAAGAAGAAATTTATCCTGTTAAAGGACTGTTTGAAAACTTTGTAAACAAACAAAAAATAAAATAAGTTCAGCCTGTGAACTACTATCATTCTGTTTTGATATCCAAAACAAGCCATGATACATACACCATGTAGGAAGCTAAAAGAAACTTTCTGGTAATCACTACGCCAAAGGGAGCTGCCTATACCTTGCATATAGTTCATCTGATAAATAATCAATGTCTATGATGCCGCATTATGTGTCAGACCCTATTTGAGATGCTGGGAATGTTCCCAAGTAAACAAAATAGATGAAAATCCTGCTGTTCAGAAACGTAGAGTTTCATGGAGAAAAACAGACGAGTTAATAAGTAACTTAGTAAGAAATAGTATTTAGTATTAGGAGACAACTAAAGGAGGGGGTAAAATAGGTATTCCTGGGAATGTAGCTGGTGTTTGTTCTCATTCAGATAGTTAGGGGAGCTCTTTCTGGAGAAACTACTAGAAGAACAATCTGATGGTTACAAGGCAGTGGAGCTCTGAAGATATTTGTAACTTATAGCAGAGTAGGCAGAAACGCTTGTGCTCGCCGAGGCCCTGATGCAGGAGGGTGCTTTAACAGCTCTTACAACAATGTTCTTCAAGGAATAAGAGTCATTTTCTACAGAAGTTAAATTGTTCCATCTATTTGAAAAACAAGTTAAAAGTCCAAATATACAGACACGTGCCCCCCCTTTTATATATATTTATGCATATTTACATACATACTATGCATACCATTTATCCACTTAAGACAAAAATTTCAAATGTTTTAAGTGTTTTGCTAAATATTCAGCAAAATTTGTGATGTCTGTCAAAGGCCGTGAACTGCGTCTTCTTTACACTGCAACTCTTAGAACCACGGTTAAAATACTTTCTTGCTGCATTTTACTGCAATGATTCTATTAAAAAGTAACTTCTTACAGGAATGTTTTGAATAATTTCATCATGGTCTCTATTATTTCATCTACAGTTACTGATTAAGAAGAGGTCCAGAAAGTATAGTAGAGGAAGGGAAGACTAGATTTTTTGGAAACTAGAGAGTATGCCCACATGCATGTTTTAGAGTGGAAAAAAGAAGGATACTATATATACCATTGCACACAAAGCCATCGTTTTTTACAGACAGTGCAAATTTTACACCAACATTTTTTCATACCATCAAATTCGGTTTCACTGAAAAATGTCTTTAAAATAATAAGTTTTTTTTTTTTTTTAAAGGCAAGACCACAAAGATATCATCATTTACTGGGAAACTTTTCTAATCATGGTCTGTGGATACTGTGTCAAAATGAAAACTATAGATGTAGTCTTTCTTATGGTGCCAAAAGTGTTATTTTCCAAGTTTAGTCGGCTGGGTCTTTTCTAGCATCATAAAAACATGTTGAATGTTATAAACATGTTGAAAAGCCACTATTGTAATTGGCAAGGATCTTAACCATATGCTTAGAGTTGTCATCACAGAAGGGTAATTATAAAGCCAAAACCAAATTTGTTAGTGGACTAACACCAAGATAGGGCTATGCCAGATCCTGGTGGATTCCGTCAGATATCTAGGGATGGCCAACAGAAGGCAGGGAACTAGACCACAGCTGGTGAGGGAAACAGAAAGAGCTTGGGTCTAGAGAGGACTTCAGTTTTTCTGAGATTATCTGGAAAAAACAAAAACAATGCAAAAACAACAAAACAAAACAAAAACAAGCCAGAAGCCGAAAGTTACACTACAAGTAAACAGTAGCTGAAAAGTCATTTCCTATCTCAGGATAACTTTTTAGTTACGATATGCTGCTATTTTATAACCCTTTCAATTACGGCAATTGTAAGGATATTCCGCTTTGCCCATAGGAAAACCCAACTCAGGTTTTCAATTTTTATGAGCTTTTCCTGTTTCCCAAGAGAATATGTTGGATATATTCTGATAATATCACGGGATAATATAGAAAGTGTATATCACCATATATACATTCTGTAAGACTTACCTCACAAGGGATATATTTCTATTACAAAGATGCCAAGCTCTTTTCTGGTCCTATTATAAGGTTTTTAGCACTTTGTTGGACTCAGTTATGTGAGGCAAGGTAAACAGGAACCTGCAAAGCTGTCATGAAGTACCATAGAGTCAAAGATCAGATATATATCTCAACATACCCAGTGGTTAATCTGTTACCAGAAATTGCTACTGTGCTACTCTGGAAAAGATCAGTGGGTGGTAATAATAATCTTAGAGATATTTCAGCATGTTACCCTTAGCAAAAATTTCCAGGGCTGGTCTCAGATATTATTTAGCTATTCTTTTTCACCATTAGTTATTTCATAAGTTCTATCAACTCCCTACCATGTTTAAGAGGCTAGTCTAAGTACAACATTATCCATTCTAGCAAGTATATTTCTGCCCTATTTGTTGTGGTATCTAGCAAAGTATAGTCAGCTCATCATAAATGATTGTTGACTGATTGAATGATTATTATAAAGAGATAGAAGGCTAGATAGAATCCTGTAACAAATCTTTCGGAAGAGGTTGTGTTTGTCACAATTGAAGCAAAAGCTTTTTCTTCTTTTAAATTTTCAGATATAAACATCTAGAAACATTTTTTTTTTCAAAATCAAAGCAAAATAAAACAAAAAACTCTTAGATTCAGAAGACTAGATTGAAAGGCCTTGTGAATTTTCTAAGTCTATAGGGACTATTACAATCAGTACCAGTACTTTACTCAGTAGCTCAAATGCACCAATGGTTTTAAGGTTGTAGTAAAGAGTAATATGTATCAGGCTGTCTATAAAATATATTTAATGAGTAAATGAAAAGAAAGTACTTGTACTTGAGAAGATTATTCCACTTTCTTTTTCCTCATCAATTCTATTATTCAAAATGGTTCTCTATCTCCTCCCTAAATGTGATACAATAGCCACCAGTATTAAAAAATAAAAAAAAAAGGCTCAGCATATCCTCAAGGATGTCACATAGAATTGTAAAATAGTAGTTTCAGAAGATGTGCCACAAAAGAAAAAAGAATGAAAAGAGGCTTCAGCAAGTTTTGAGAAAATTGCCCAATACTTTCATAGATTTACAGATTTTGATTCTGACAGTAGGACAAGTGTTGGTGGCATTGGTGGTGATGGTGGTTGGGGTGGGAGTATGGGTACTTTCTAAGAAGAGAATAAAAATTTAAAAACACAGAAAAGCTAGGGCTCTCTGAGAACCTGGGAAGGAGTTGGCTATGGCAGTGAAAAGCCCTGAGCCTTAAGCCTCATTAACTTTAAGGTAAGTCAGCTTGTGCTCATAAAACAAATGAGGTATTGAGGGACCTTAGGTTCTTTTCAAAAAAGAAATTCAGTATAGAAATTTGTTTACCAAATCTATCAAGGATTACTGTTTTTTTCTCTCCCCCTTTAACAACTGTTAACATTTGTAGGAGCTGGAATCTCACAGTACACTTTGTGGAAATTAGGGATAGAGGCACTTTAGGGTTTTCAATGCTCATAGACTTTGTCTCAGTCCTTGGCAACCTTCTAATATTCCTCTCACAGCATTCACGATTGGTTTGCTATGTGCTAGGGATCGTGTATGGCTCATCTTAATATATTCCAATAGTTATAATAACCACCATCATCATAATAATGATAATAAGGAAGGAAGAAGAGGAGGGGTGAATTTACCTTGAATATCTACTGCATGTCAGGCACTCTTAGGTTTTAGATACGTACATTTAATCTTCATAAAATATATGAAATGTATATATTTATATCTCCCATTTTAGATCACATAACTATACCTTTGGAAGTTAACATTCTAAGACAGTTGGAGTCATAAATGGGAACTCTGGAAAAGTGAGCTCAGGTCTTATAGCTCCAAGTTCATTGTTCTTTCCTTTTCCCTAATTATTTCACATGAATCCTTATTAGGTGAGTTTGCCATCTCTCACAGATAAACCAGAGTGATCATTTTTGTTTATTTGTATCAACTGACTGAGTGGCATCTGTACAAGGGAGATAGTGACCATTAAATAATATTGCTCAAGGAAGGTACTCTTTGAAGAAAGTCTTGTTTTAATGATGTTTCAATAAAGACAACATTTACATTTTTCTTTTTCCTCAGGACACATGCAGTGAATTTAGGGCATTGATGAAAAATGGAAATTTATTCTGTCCCCATGATGAAGAATATTTTCAAAGCCCTGAAGAAGTAATGCTCATCAATAAGTGTGCCACTTGCAAATTCATACTGTGAGTGAAGGTTTTCTTTTTTTTTCAAGGATTTTTTTTAATTACCTGTTATTCTCTGAACTAGTAAATATATCCCCTTTCTTTCTTTCAAATGTATTTTTCTAAACCTGAACAATTAAATAAAAATGCTTAGCAGACCACTCTGACACATTCTATCGGATAAAGATAATTGTCACCCATCTGGAAAGGTTTTAATAATCACTCAAATGGGATTCCAAAAGCATTTCAGAGGGCCCAGTGTTAACATCTTATGTAGCACTCTATAATCTTTGAAGGATGTAGTTTCATTTTGAACATCGTGGTTCTGGAGGAAAAAAAAGGATTTAAGAAAAAAAGTCATATTCCTTAGGCCTATTAATACCTAGCTGTGTGGTAGCCTAGGGTCTGAGAAGATCCCTTTGAGAATAATGTTAGACTGTCCTGTGGCAGGTGGCTTGCAAAGAAGTTAAGTAGGATACATCCTGATTCAGTGAGCTGCCAGAGTGTTTAGATATCTAAATCCAGGGTTTATTTTCTGCCAGTCTTTGGAAGATTAAGAGTTGTCTTGGGCCACAGATTAAATACAAAAACACTAATGACAGCAGATGACCTTTAAAAAAGGTCCACACATACTTTTCATGATATTCAATACCACAGATAAGCTAAACAGTCCTCAAATAATCTGTAAGCAGCTGCAAACTGCAGGTTACACACTGCTGTAAGGCCAGATGAATTAAAAGGTAGATTGTGGATTCCAACTCCTTGCAGCTCGGAAAGAATTAGCCTTCTGGAAATTTACCACTATCTACCCAATTCTTCTTAACTTGGGTGTTATTCTTTCTAATGACATCACCAAGGTGGAAAAAAGGTTTTAATTATTAATGGCAAATCCTCAAACCAGATGGTCTTAATTTGTTTATGGAGGGGGGTCATCCTCAATTTCCAACCATCTCATGCTAGCACCAAGCCAATATACTAAGCTTCCTCATTTAAGGTAATTACTGTGCATTATAATTGGCTTTTTAAATACCAGGTTGGTGTATGTCAGGGGATTTACTTTGTCATGTTCAATAATTGGGATAATGAAGTGCTGTCATATATGCTGCTTTTAGGGAAGAGATTGTGGGAAGACGAAAAAAGCAGGATAAGATTTAGTGGAGGACTGAGGCCCAGAGCAGGTTAAATAATTCTTTCTTATTATTCCGAGAGCTGAATGTAAATCAGCAGGCATATTCTGTACTATAAAATTTTCTTCTTGTTACTTAGGATGTCTTGACTGGAGACTGAAACCGTGAATATAATAAACTTCCTAAAAAAATTAAAGCAAAAATAAAATGGCTTAAGACTCAACAGACAGTTTATTACATTGGGGTTACTCATTCAATTATTATTCTTACCGCCTACATAAATTATGTTGAATGAAACTTGGTTTTTTAACCTAGAAAAGAGGAGATTGTGCCAGACATAAAAGTTCCCTTTAAATTGTGGAAGGACTGCCTTGTGGAAACAGGTATCAATTTGTTCTGTGGGCCCCTAGAGGCTGGAATCAGAATTAATACAGGCAGGTTAATGTTGGTTCACTGTGAATATGGTCTTTCAAAAATTACATTCAAACAATGGAGCTGATGGCTTTTAGAACTGGCCACCATCTGGCTGTTGGAAGTATTCTAGAGAGGTTGTCTATTACACTGTTAAAGTTTCTTGCTTGTCATAATACCATATTTGAGATATTTTTCAGATGTGAGGAGAGATTTGTAGTACTTTGCCTGTTTCTGAATACACCACCACTTTTGACACAGTAGATTGGGCTGAGGAGAACAGTCAAAATTAAGTATATTATGACAACTGTTATTCCTAAAAGTTGGGAAAACAATTTTAAGCTATGCTATTCCTGTTTCTCTTCCAGGGAAGAAGAAGCAAAATTCCAGAGAAGGGCCAGGGATTTACCAATAGCCACAGAGGACACTCCCCCAGCAAAGGTGAGACTGTATAGAGTCAACCTGTGTGCTATGTGTGCTTTCAAGATGACGTTGACTCTGTTTAGAGGTACCTGTTTATTTCCTAATTACTAGGTCATACCTGTTGTGTAGCTAACTACTTAAAAGGGAGGGAACATGGCTTAGTTCAGGGGTGGGCTAAAATATCTGGTACATCTTGTCCATAGGCCCAGCCCTTGACCCGGCTCTTAGAAAACATTCTGGGCACTGACAGATGCTCAGAGGTGGAGTGAGCCTGGGTGATGCTTGCCCTTCCTGGTCATTTCTCATTCTTCCTGTTCTGTCCTAGCTGCAAGGAAAGCCTTCCTGGGGCTGAATAATTAAGTTCAAATTTCAGAATTCTTATTTATTATCTATGTAACTTGGGAAATTTACATATTTCTGAGTCTCAGTTTATTTGTCTGTGAAGTGGGTTGTACTCCAAATGAGAAACTGTAAACAACCAGCCTTGGTGTTTAACTTGTTTTAGCAGGTGTTTAACTTGTTCTATTTCATTTTCTTTTTCCTTTTTGCTTCTTACTGTCTAGCTCTTTCACTACTGGAGGTTTTCCTAATTCACCTAGAGTTACTTATTTATACCTGTTACAGATTTGGACTCAAGCTAATATTTTGTTTGAGAAAAATGTTCTGAGATTAAAAAACAATAAAACATTAAGAAGTAAAAGAAAAAAAAAGAAACAGTACACATTTAATCCCTTGCGTAACCATTCCATTTTTATTTTATTTGTACAAAATTTTTTACTGATACAAAAATATAAAAATACAGAAATAAAGGTCTTAGGCCCAGATTGGTGAAATATCTTGTCTGTATTGTCTCACAGTTAGGCTAGGGACAAAGCTGGGACTGTCATCACCTATTCTGAAAACTACTCACACTACTCCTGATCTTCTATGCCCCTTATCTAATTTCTTTTTTTCTCTTCCTCATCTGCTGGTTCCAACACATAATTAAAATAATCAGTCAGGGTAGGCACACCCTAATTACTTATAACCTCCACAGTCTAACCAAACTACTATCCTTCTTGGCCGTGTTACTTAGGAATGTCTGAGAACCTCGGCCTCCACAGTGAAGATAAGTGACTGAATTCTTTGCCTGGAATCAAGCAGTCTCACTTTTAATACAATAATGCAATCACTGATTAGTGATTTCAAATCCTTTATTTGTAAAGGGATTTGAAAAGGCAACTACTTTCATTCTCTATACAATCTATGGAATTCAGAAAGGTTTAGTTGCAACTTTTAAATCTATCTGTATTTGTCACATTCAGAGAGAGGCTCACTCTGGAAGATCCACTTTCCTTTTTCTCCTCTGTCTCCTTCAAAAAAAAAAGATATATCAATGATGTTTAAAAATATAAAACACAAGGAAATGACAAACCAAAAAAAATACATGTATAGACAAATGAACATGCACCGTTCTTAACAAAATTATTATTTTTATTTACGAGACAGAGTCTCACTTTGTCATCCTCGGCAGAGTGCTGTGGTGTCTTAGCTCACAGCAACCTCAAACTCTTGGGCTCAATCAAGCCATTCTTTTGCCTCACCCTCCCAAGTACCTGGGAGGATAGGCGCCTGCACAATGCCTGGCTAGTTTTAGAGATGGGGTCTCGCTCTATCTCAGGCTGGTGTCAAATTCCTGAGCTCAGATCTGCCCTCCTTGGCCTCCCAGACTGCTAGGATTACAGGCATGAGCCATCACACCCTGCCTCAAACATGTTATTTTTAAACTGTTCTTGGTTAGATATTTCCATACATAGTCACAAATTTATTGAATTACAATTAAATAAATGTTTTTAAAAATAAAATTACAGAACATTGAGACATTATACCTTTCTGTTAATATTTTACTTCTAGATGAAATGCTTGCAATTATATAGTTTATTGTCTAGATTACTTATGTATAAATTGATGTAGTTAATATTTAGTTGTGTGTCTTTCAAGTAATTTCTGGCTAGATTTTTACTTGTCTGTGTTTAAATGGTTCATGCAATTATACTATGTTTTTGTTGTCATTGTTCCTTCACTATAAAAAAGAAAAATTACCCACCTTTTCTTCTTAGGTTCCTCCCATCAAAAATCAAACATGCTACTCACTCTGAGAATAAAGTGTACGAGAATTTTCCTCCTACAGACATTCTCAATCTCTCTCTCTCCATCAATTTCTTCCTCATTAGTATGTCATCTTTTCACCTCACAACTCACTCTAGTATTCACTTCCTCAACAATCTTGTTGCTGCTGCCTCCAAAATACAACCCCAACTTGACTGTTCTCCATTTCCATATCTACCATCCAGTTCAGTCATCCATAATTTCTGATTTCTAATATCTTTGGTCCATGTGGAGACATTTACTTTTCAATGAGTTGATTCACTTAATGTTTGAAATGATTAAAGTTGCCAATTCTATAGGATATTAAGTTCATATGTGCAGATGTGTGTTTCTGAGTTTTCTGTTCTTGCCAAATTGGTTCATTGCTTTAATAATTAGTATAACAAGTTCCCTTTCTTAGTTCATATTATTAAAAGTTGCCTTACCTATGCATAGATATTTCTACATACTAGAAATAAAAAGTTACTCAGTTCATAAAAAAATCCAGCTTGAATTTGGAAACCCAATGTGATTAGGTTTACAAAGAATTTAAAAATTATTTGGGGAAAATTGACATTTTATAGAAATATCTTGACCAACCTGAAGCTCAAAGTGTAACTTATCGATGTAATTTCTGTATGCTATATGTAATTTTAAAAGTATTCTTCATAGAGAGATTCTTATAATATTTAATACCTAGAAAATGTCTTATTTTATTGCGATTTTGAATGTATTTATTTTTATAGTATTAGGAGTTAAGGTTGGTGATGGATCAGACAAATTTTTGATGTTTTCTATTAATTTTGGTAATTTATTAATTCTATTCTTTTTGTTGATAATGTGACCTACATACTACAGGAGTTTCATAATTTACCCTTCGATCTTAGCACTCTTTTATTTCTCTTTCTTTCCTTATATAAAGGGCAAAAATCCAGACTTCAGTAGTTAAACAGTAGTGATAATAATGAACATCAACCTTCCCCCCTCACCCCTGTATTAAAGGGAATACATATAAAGTTTCTCCATTAAATATGTTTACCATAGGAGTTTTTATCTATAAAGTTTAGTTAGTTTGGAAAATCCTTTCTATTCTTAGTCTACTGAATCTGTGCTATCATTAACTGCCTTCTCTGCAACTGTTAAAATAATTTAATTTCTTCCTCTTTTAGTCTATCAATATATTTCTGTATATATTTTCTAATGTTAAACTATTATTGTTTTCAATAAGTTTCATCATACTTAATCATAATATATTTTTAATATACTTTTGAATCTAGATAGTAACATTTTATTATTTTACTAAGAAAGTTTGCAATTATGTCCATGAGTAAAGTAAGTCTACATTTTTTCTCTTTTTAATTGTTCTTATCTGATTTTGGAATCTATTTGAAGTTCCCAGAAGAGTAGCACTTCAGGCTATGGCTAAATGAGGTCAGCAAATCTTCTCCCCCAAAAGCAACTATAAAGCCAGACAAATTGACCAAAACAAACATTTTAGCACTCTGAAAATTGACCTAAACCCTACGCTAAGCTGAGAAACAATTATGCCTGAAAAATTGTTGAACTTTGGGTAGAAAAATGGGAGTCTGCGATATTCCTACTTAGGGATACTCTGATCTTACCCCAGATTGGTTGGTATAGGATTCTAAACAGAGCAGGCTACTGCCACTGGTGAAGGGGCTTATCTAATTTGAATAATGGGCAGAAGTGTTTTTGTTATAAGGGAGGATCTTTACTGAGAGTAAGAAGATGGCCTGTAGTCATAGTTGAGGAAAGTATATTTCTATTTTTGGTTAAGTCTTCACACATGGGTAGAGGAGAACAAAGAGAGGCCAAGAGAGTCGCACACCCCTGAAACCATAAAGCTGTGAATATGCATCAGAAAACACAAAATACCCCAGTGGGAAGCAAACGCTGGGGTCCATGTTAAAGTGTCTGGAACTTTGCATGCCATCCCTATACAAAATGCCCATCTTCAGAGGATGAATGTCTATTAACTTAAAGTATTTGAGCACAAATTGTGTCAAATCATTAGCAGCTGGCCAGAAAGCTACAAATATTTAGGGGAAAAACATCTAAGAAGATAGGCTTAAAAAATAAAAACTATAAATATTTTCCTAATGGACACCTTAGCAGTCATAAATTATGGGAGAGCAAGATTTCAAAGATTTAGTATAAGAACAAAACAAATAAATGAAAAAGCTAAAAGCAAAAATGAAATAAAAATAACCTTTAGGAGTAAAATTATAGTCCTGAGCCCATATAATATTTTATCCAATATGTCCAGTTTTCAGTAAAAATTAGCAAATATGCCACGTAATAATGTATGATACAGACTGAAGACAAAAGAAAGTCAATGAAATTTGTCTTTCAATGTCTATAGATGTTAGATTTGGCAAATACTTGGAACACCTGTTAAAAATGTGTTCAGAATACTTTAAAAAATGTTTAATTACTAGAAAGCATGATAACAATAAACAGAAACTTTTAATGAAAAGATATAAATTATATAAAAAAAGGAAAATTCTGGAGGTGAAAAGCACATAACTGAAATGAAAATGTTTAACAGAGAGGCTCAAAGGCAGATTTGTGATTGCATTTAAAAAAAAAAAGAATTAGCAAACCCAAAGAAATATTAATAAAAGCTAACGATGGAAGTAAACAGAGAACCAATATTGAAGACAAATGAACAAATTTTTGAAAGATTTTTTTGAACAAGTAAGCCAACATATGTTGAATGGGAATACCAGAAATATAGAAGAAAGAAAAGTGAATAGAAGGAACAAGAGCCTATAATGTCCTAAATTTGATGAAAAAAACTAATCTTAACATTAAATAAACTCAACAAACCCCAAATAGGATACATACAGAGAGATCCACACTAGAACAAT